CTCTTTCCGTGAGCAAGCACAGGGGGGGCTCCAATGTTTCCAGTTTATTGTATAAATACTTTAAAATAGCCTCAGGGTCACCAAGGATTTAATAAACATAGAGAAATTATTATCGCTATGTTCTTCTTATTAAGCTGTGACTTTATTGGTCCGGCCCATTTGAGATCACAGTAGGCCGTATGTGGCCCCTTAACTGAAATGTGTTTGACACCCCTGCTTTAGACAATTCATCTTCAATCATCCCTGAAGTAAAGATTAAGGGGAACAGCACCATCATTATTTTCTATGGTTTCCCATGGGGTGGGGGGACAAACATATGAAAATACAGGCTGTCACGTTTGTGAAATAACGCAGAGGGAAACAGGAGTGTGAGGAGTACCAGTCTGTGGGACCCCGGCCTGCAGTAAGAGGAGAGATTAGAGAGATTAGAGTTAAAGAGCATCTCGTCCTGTGGAGCCCCTTCTAAACACCGGCTCCCATCAGAAGGGCCCCGACCCACGGAGGAAACAGCAGAGATTAGACTCGTTTAACAGTAATCCTCCTCCTCTGGAGCAACGCCAGCCCGGAGCGGACGACCACCGCTCGACTGCAGTGACGGGCAGGGGGCGAAGAGTCTGCATGTTGAACAGGAGTCAAACCTTTACAACCGCTGAACAAGAGTCAAACCTTTACACCGCTCAAAAAGAGTCAAACCTTTGCAACTGGTGAACAGGAGTCAACCTTTATAACTGGTGAACAGGAGTGACACCTTTACAACTGGTGAACAGGAGTCAACCTTTACAACTGGTGAACAGGAGTGAAACCTTTACAACTGGTGAACAGGAGTGACACCATTACGACTGGTGAACAGGAGTGACACTTTTACAACTGGTGAACAGAAGTGACACCTTTACAACTGGTGAACAGGAGTGACACCTTTACAACTGGTGAACAGGAGTGACACTTTTACAACAGCTCAAAAATAGTCAAACGTTTACAACAGCTGAACAGGAGTCAAACCTTTACAACTGGTGAACAGGAGTCAAACCTTTACAACTGGTGAACAGGAGTCAAACCTTTACAACCACTGAAAAAGAGTCAAACCTTTACAACTGGTGAACAGGAGTCAAACCTTTACAACTGGTGAACAGGAGTGACACCTTTACAACAGCTCAAAAATAGTCAAATGTTTACAACAGCTGAACAGGAGTCAAACCTTTACAACTGGTGAACAGGAGTCAAACCTTTACAACCGCTCAAAAAGAGTCAAACCTTTACAACTGGTGAACGGGAGTGACACCTTTACAACAGCTCAAAAAGAGTCAAACCTTTACAACTGGTGAACAGGAGTCAAACCTTTACAACTGGTGAACAGGAGTCAAACCTTTACAACCGCTCAAAAAGAGTCAAACCTTTACAACTGGTGAACAGGAGTCAAACCTTTACAACTGGTGAACAGGAGTGACACCTTTACAACAGCTCAAAAAGAGTCAAACCTTTACAACTGGTGAACAGGAGTCAAACCTTTACAACAGCTCAAAAGGAGTCAAACCTTTACAACTGGTGAACAGGAGTCAAACCTTTACAACTGGTGAACAGGAGTCAAACCTTTACAACCGCTGAACAGGAGTGAAACCTTTACAATAGCTGAACATGAGTGAAACCTTTACAATAGCTGAACATGAGTGAAACCTTTACAATAGCTGAACATGAGTGAAACCTCAAAAACAGCTCAGGATGATTTCCGTCGCTTGGCTTGAAGCCGTAAGGATGTTTTTGGTAACTGGGCCCGATCCGTTGTTTAAAGTGACTTATAGGGCCACTGTGAATCATTTAGAGGAATCTAATAGCAGAAGTGGAATATGGTATTTACCGTTTTCAGTAGTTCTCCCCAGACTGAGACCTTCAGATCTACGAATAAGAGCGGTGATCTCTGTTCAGTTTTCTCTGAATAGTTACATTCAACTGAAGAGATTAAATAATAGATATCTCTGCAAATATAACTTTTATATATATATAAAGTTGACAAGTTTACAGTTGATGGATTATTGTAAATTCAGTGTAATACAGTTTAGTCATGGTATTCACTAAATGAATACTTTAATATGCAACCAGACTGACTGACTTGTTGTTGACGGATTTAAAACCTGCTTTCTGATTCAGTGTCTGAGAATGACATCAGAGATCGGAATGAGCGAGCGAGGACGGAGAGGCACGGGGAAAGGAAAAGAGAGAGAGAGTAATGAAACATTTAGAAAACATAAAGTGGAAAATGAGTTCTATAACTGGTTCAGTGCCAGACCACACAAATGTCTGAACAGATATGGATCACTGCACACACACAAACACACACACCAACCCGTACCTGGATGGGTGGCCTTAGTTGCTCGAGGCTTCGGTTGTAGCTGTAAATCGTCTCCATGGCAAAAACAAACCTGCTCAGATGACGATACAGGGCAGCATCCACATTATGAACCTTTATATTTGTTCTGCAAGGGGGGAAACATATAATGATGATGTGATATGTGCATTAATTCATTACTGGAAAAATTAGCTGCAAATAGTGTTTTGGAATTACTCACAGATGCTGGTTAATCTGTTTTACGGCTGAATGAACTCCTCATGCTCATCATCGAGGTGGATACACATGTTCCAACCTATAATTTCTCATTGTTGTGTTCCTCCTGACTTGTAATTGTGAGTACGTGAGTCACAATTTAATTGGCGAGGAGTCGAAAAATGTTATGGAGAGATATTATTTCCCCACTTTACGGTAATGGGCCACGGGATCATGGTACGGTCGAACCCTCAGGTTACTTTCATTTCATAACATGTTTCTGTTCTTGAGATCGATCGAGATGAAAAATCGCCATCCGGTTCAGTCAATAGATCCCACATGAAACGGTGTTTTTACGTTTCAGTCATTTACTGTTAATTTGACCTTTCAGAAACACGTGAAGTAAACCTTCTCTTTAACTTTGATGAGCGTGTTTTTTTCCTTCGGTCAGTACGCGTCTTGGCCTGCGGAGGACGCTAAAGGTCCAGAATTAGAAAGCTGTTCTCGTTTCTGTCTGTGTGACATTTGTTGACTTTGTTTTTATCAAACATGGCCGTCTGTTTGATATAACTTCAATACTTCTATTCTAAAATTTCCCCTCAAAAATTCTCTACACAATTCTAATTTAGGGAATAGTGATATCGTTCAATTTTTTTACTTTAATATTTATTATGTTATTATTCAAAACACAGCAGGCCACCAGATTAAAAAAATGTCATATCTGTCACTAGGTTTATGATATAAATAAATCATATTCAGATAACTATAACAGTTAATAAAAACTTAATTTAATAAGATTATCTCATTGAGAGGAAATAGATCAAAATTAATGCAAAAACGTTTTTGGGACCAAATCCAAATCCTCAACTTTTGGATTATTACGCCATTCATTAGGGCGTCTTCTACCGAATGTAGTTATACATCCAATCCATCAAAAATCATGAATATGTTTTTGTTTGTTTATGTTACACTGACACACTTTAATGGTAAAAACAGCAAACGGCTGCTTTGGCACTGAGGAAAGTATGAATCGTGGTTGACAGGACCTCCAATCTAAAGGAATCACCAGGTACAACAGACCTGAAACAAAAACTGCATCGCTCCAGCGCCCTCGATAACATAGTTTAGTTCTCAATCTCATGGACCCCCCCCCCCTCATGCAGCTCCTCCAGCCAGAATCTAATCGGACCAACACTTTGTTTCCCAGAACAAAAGCAATATTTCTTAACAAGTCCACAACAGGATTATTCCGTCCACACCCCCCTGGCAGGGACAAACGTTTCTCAGAGCAGAAACAAAAGGGTGGCTTGAGTTCTTGTGTGAGAAACAATGTGTCTGATGCCCAGTAAAAGGACAGCAGGTGAAGACAGACAATGAGGGCGAGACGTCCTCCTGACCCGAGTGTTGACAAACAGACGCCTCAGAGGTCGTTCTTCGGGTTCATCCACCTTCTGACGAGCTTTTTGTGAAGTCCGCAGAGGCTGATGTTGCTTTCTATTGTTTCCCACGAGGTGCTGAAGTGAGGAATTCCCTCTCATCTCCCTCACGTCTCCTGCAGACTGACTGCAGGCCACACCGAGCTTTGGTCTTCACCTCCTTGTGCAAGTTTCAGAACTAAAGATTTAGACAATCAGAACTCCAAACCAGCTTGTTTTGCTCCACTTTGCAACGACTGACTCAGCTGCTCATTTAATTCAACGTTCTTTTCTAGAAATTGAAGCTGCATTGTTTTCAATTTCTATTGTTTTATTGATTCTTCATTATATATTCGATCTATTATATAAGATCCAAGAAGTCTCCGTATTCATTTTTTCTGAAATGATGTCACGCTGCTTAACGTCAAGAAGAAGGTTTGTGGGATCATTTTTGTTTGACGACACATTACAAGAAGCTTTTTAAGTACGTGCACGTACCGTAATGCACCGTGTGTTGTTTGTGCAACATGCAGTACAAAGCTTATCACTACGTTCTACTTTGTGAGCGTTTGTAATACAGCAGGTTGGCCGTGTTCCACGTTGTACTGCTGGATTCCTGGGAAGGAGAAGAAGAGGTCCTCTCCCTGCGCTGTGATTAAGTGCACAAGTTCAGTGTGGGTTCATCCAAATCTCAACCTTATGTAACTGTGAAATAACACATAAATCACGTGAAGGGGGGAACTGTGTTCATCGTTTCTACCCAACGAAAGTTCATCTCCAATAATGAAATACGTGAGTATTGAACCTGTTGTTATTGAGACGCTACTTCCCAGCTGATCACTCACATTTTGGCTTTTCACTCTGGTTATTTTTCCAGTAAAGATCATGTGATCATCAATCATAATGCAAAAAAACAAGGTGGTGAAACAAACAGCTAAATGTGTGTGTGTGTGTTTCTGTGGATTTAAGTCAACCAGCTGTTTTCCTGTTTTTCTCCCCGGGAGGGGGCGGGCCTTGTGGGGCGGGCCGTGTGGGGGTCACCCTCAGAGCCCCTGTGGTGTTGGCGTGATTAATGTGTCCGCTCCGTCCCGTGGAAGCCTTTAAAAGCAGCCGCTGCTCATCGGTTTTACGTTGAGCCGACATCATGGTGCCAGACAGAGACGTTCTCGTGACTGCTGCCGTTTTCCTTTTCGCCCTCATTCCACACAGTGAGTTTCTTCTTTATTTCGTATCGTTCTTTAATGTCAGCACATTTGGCTTCTCAGTAGTGGCCACTATTCTAAAAATGTCACTTTCTACTTTTTTATGTGCTCATTATTCGTCATTATTCATTTTTTTACAACGTAAGTTTGGATAACAAAGTTTCCTTAATATGAAATGCTGCCACGCCCGATCCCTATGAAAATAAATCAACAACTGTCTAGTGACTTAGCCCGGTCCGATCGCACGGAGGTTACAGCACGGACGCAGACCTTTTGTCTCTTTGTGCGTCCTCGCCCTTCCAGGTGAAGCCATCGTCGGAGGCAGAGAGGCGGCGCCTCACTCTCGGCCCTACATGGCCTCCATCCAGGTGCCAGAAGGAGAGGAGATGAAGCACGAGTGTGGAGGGTTTGTGATCGCCGATCAGTGGGTGATGACTGCCGTCCACTGCCTGCCGACGGGGTGAGGCGACCTTCTTTTAACCACCGCGAGAGGGATTTCTTACGCGGGAGTTTTACTTCCAATATTTATGGATGTGTGAGAGCTGAGCAGAGATGACTTGCAAGCGTCACATCTTTTTTTTCCTGTTCTGAATCAAAAGATGCATTCTTAGCATCGTCTGTTAATTAAAGTCATTTAAACCCCTGTTTACTGCCCCGACAGGCCGAACGGAAGGAAGGTGGTGCTGGGAGTCCATTCGCTCAGTGAGCCCGAAGACACCAAGCAGACATTTGATATTCTGGAACTTCACAATCACCCTGACTTCCAAGAGTCAAATTACGATAATGACATTGCTTTAATTAAGGTATGTATGTCAAGTTTGTGTCACTTGTCAGTGGCACCGAAACGGAAATTGTGACATTGTTGCTGTGTTTTGGGGAGCAAGCCAACAAAAGATTGTAATCTATGTGTCACAAACTAAAACAGAACCGCTTGCTGTGTGTTTTGCTGCAGCTGGATCGTCCGTTCAGCGCGTCTGAAGCTGTCAAAGCGGTGGAATTCCTGAGAGCGGGCGGCACCAACCCTGTGACGGATGCCCAGGTGGAGACGGCCGGGTGGGGGTCCCTGGATAACCTGGGGTCCAGACCGGACAAGCTGAAAGAGGTGGTCGTTGACGTGTTCAACCCGGATCTCTGCGGACGCAGCGACTACTACGGGGAGAAGTTCACCAGCAACATGATGTGCGCGCACAGAGTTTGCCCCCGACCCTGCAGGAAACCGCAGAGGAAGGAGGACAGCTGTGATGTGAGTTTTCTTCTCCTCCACCAGCTCCACGGGGGTCGATCGAGTTAGGATGAGTTAGTAGAGAAGCTACTTGTATTCGTCTGTACTCAAAGAACGCGAATGGGGGATTTCTTCTTCTTCTTCTTCTCCGAATCGTCCCGTTCAAGTGCCTCTTCTCGTTGCCCCCTCAGGGCGACTCTGGGGGGCCTCTGCTCCACAACGGCATCGCGGTGGGCATCACGTCCAACGGAGGGCAGAAGTGTGGGCAGGTCAAAAAGCCTGGAGTTTACACAATCATCTCCCGGTACAGCGAGTGGATCGACAGCACCATGGCGCCGCAGGCCGAGCCGACACCGGAGCAGAGCCAGTGAAGGACGCCCGCCGCGTTCAGGTCCACCTAACGGCGTCTAGCACGGGGACATACTACCCCCAACTGCACGGACATGTAGCCATCACCTTCAATGAAACACGGCGCATCGCATTCAGCTGTCCGTTCTCAGTTGTTTACTGCACAATAAAGAATACAACTGTTATGTAGTAATAGTAGTAATGCAAATAAAACAAAATGAACATCTTTTTATTCAGGAATTTATTTTACTTGCAACAAACAAAACAAAACTTTTTGGATGCAGTGTTGCATTGTAGTATTGTGCATGAGACCATCACTGGTGTGTGCAGGATAAACATTATAGCACAGTTGTAGTTTCACCTTCACATGATTTAATAAAACAACTTTCAGACAAACAATCTTGTCTTCATGCAGTTGTTCATCTGGATGATTGTGAAGAATGTAACTGTTAGGAAATCAAGATATCTACAAGCAGATCTCATAAACTTGTTGGATAAGTTCTCCCGCCTCCCTAAACGTAAACAATCCTTCATGTTTCGGCTCCTCCTTCACACCACCACCAATTTGTTACACCCACAAAGCAAACTCTTCATTTTCAAAAACCTTTGGCGTATTTGTTGTTTGCTAATAATGAATAAATAAATATGCCATGAACATATTTTTTTAATAAAAAAAAAAGGAAGCGAACCATGATGACATCATCTATAAAAGCTCTAAATCTGCACTGTAATTCAATCGAGTGCCAAGTCCATGCAGGTCTAATTCCACGTTAGTTGAATGAACCTATATTTGAACTTTTGAACAAATGATACAGTTTAATCGCATTGTGTCGGTGTTGCATTCGTTGTGCTCGCCCCCCTTCCTGCCCCTCAAGCATCTCTCAACAAGTAATTCCCCTCTAAGGCTCCCTCCTTTCTCGTCCTCTGCTGCAGCTCCTGCACAGGGAACCTCCTGCTCGTGTAGGCGCGTCCTCCGTGCGAGGCCACCAGCTTGTTGACCCCTGAGAGGAGGTCCTTCACCTGGGGATAGCTCACAGCACTCTGGGACTCAGCCGAAGCGTTCAGCTCGTAGAACCGGCTGCCACACTTGCGGATGAGATCCCGGAGGGCGGCGTGGGCTCCGGCCACGTAGTCGTTGATGGCCTGAGGCCTGCGCCGCTCGCCGTCCCGGCGGACGAGGAGGACCACGGCGTGCTCGGCGAAGTCCCGCCCGAAGATCCTCTGCAGGCGCCCGAGCATCTCGCACTCGCCCTGGGTGAAGCGCTCCAACTGGAGCACCAGCAGGAAGGCGTGGGGTCCGGGCAAGGACAAGGCCAGGCAGTCCTTGACCAGCTCCAGATGTTCCACCCCGTCCTCGTCCCACAGCTCGGGGGTGTCCACCAGGATGAGTCGCCTCCCGGCTGCGAACGCCTCCTTTCTCTCACAAAACAGGGTGGGGCGGGGGGGTTCGGGGCTGGACTCCTCCGTCGAGTATTGATTGCCTGCCCTCTTCAGGATGAGATTCAGAGCGGAGGACTTGCCGCTGCCGGAAAGACCCAACAAGATGACCGACATCTTCTTCGTATCATCATCTTCAAGTCAGAGAAGAAAAGGGGAACCAAATTATTGTAACCACAGGCAGAACATGTAGTATAAATGTGGAGGAAAAAGAGCATTTCCATCAACTCCTCCTCGTCTTACCGTCGGTGGCTCTCGTCTGGATCTGCAGCATGGCCCCGTGGCTCGTCACCGCCTCCTCCAGGCTCTCCCTCTTGGTCTCGTATTGCTTTATTCCCGCCGCATCCTTCTTTCTTTCCTCGGCGTGTCTGGCCTTCAGCGCCTCCATCTCCTTGGCTCTTCTCTCCTCCTGCTGTTGGACGAGCTGCTTGAACGCCCGCCCCTGCTCCTCCATCTCTCGCACCTTCTGTCTCAGGATCTGCATGGCCGAGTCCTCCGTGCTCCTTCCCCTGGCTTCGGTCAGCATGGCGTCCGTGTAGCCCGCCGCGCCGTTCTCGGCCAGCACGCGGTCCAGCATCTTGAGCAGAGCGCCCAGCCCGTCTTTGGCCGCGGACGACGTGATGCGGCAGTATCTGCCATCGCACGTGTCCAGCAGCTCCAGGAGGGCGTCGTCCAGTGTGTCGGCGACCTTTCCGTCTTCCAGAGAGATGACCAGCAGGTACTTCAAAGCCTCCGCTCCAAAGTGGGCCTGCAGTGTCTCTACCATTCTCCTCTCCCTCGCCGTGTAACGGCCGCCCTGGATCAGCAGCAGAAATGTAGTGACTCCGTCTGTGCAGGACTTGAAGCTGGCATCTATGGCCCAGCCGAGGCCGACCTCCGTCGTGTCTTGTTTCGAATCTGCAAAAAGCAAAGTGGCCGAGCGACCGTCCAGCGTCACGTCACAGACTTGGTTTGGCCCCAGAGAACCGAAGGTCAAGCTGACTTGCTCATCCCCCGGCCCGTGCTGCAGAGCCTTCAGGGAGGACCACTGCTCCACGGTGGACATGACCACCACCATCTGCCTCATGCCGGTTTTTCCCTCTGTCAAAAACGACACAGTGATGACTCGTCAATGACATGTGATCATTTTAAGTGCAAATGGCAAGAAATAACTGTATTTAGACCGTAACACACCTGTTCATTTCAGGCCTTTTATTGCCAAAATAATGGAGGAATTACTTACTGTGCGACATGTCTGTAGCAGGTGCTCCTACGGGTCTGCTTCAAGATGCTTGTCAGCTCAAGAGAACGCCTGGAACTGGATTATCTGGCTCTGAGACAAAGCATTGTGAGGGCAAAAGAAAAGAAGATGCTTCCTGGTTACAACTGTTTCACGTGTGAACCAAGGTTTTTCTCTCAGGGAAGTACATTCCACAGAACCAGTGGGAATGAAAAGGCCGCTTGTCGCCAGCTTCATAACATCATGCTGGAGTTCTTCAAAAGATCCTTTTTACCCACTAATCAGAAACGGTACTTCTTACTAAAAGTTGTTGTGCACTATAAACCAATAATCTCCCCCGACACACACACGGCAAAACACAGCCTTTCGCCCCAACAACTGTTGAGTTATGTGAGTCTCCACAATGCGACTGAAGGCTGAAGTGTCCTTGGGAAAGATACTGAGCCCCATCGGTGTGTGTGTGTGTGAGTGTGCATGAATGGGCATTGAGCAGGATCCTCCAGCAGCTCGGCACCTTGTATGGTTATCCTCTGCCATCAGCGTGTGAATGGAGAGGATGTCGCCGCGTGACGATGGCTTTGATTGGGCGAAGGAAAGAAAAGCCACTTTAAGCATGCCCGTGTTTCAAAAGATCACATTTGAGGTAAACATTTTGAATTGAACTGATTTGCTCTGCATATCGGTTTTCCTGTTTCCGATGCTCCTGCTGTCTGCTCAATGAAGGTCGTCTCACAGGCATCCTGTGATTGTTTCTTATCCTCCTCACTGCTGAATCAGTCTTATTGTAGATAAAACAGACGTAGTGCATTAGTGTTGTGACACGCAAGATACACTTTTTTCTATACTGTTTGTCTACTCTTTGTGTAAGAGAACCACATACACTTTCAAGGTAAACAGTCATTTTAATCTGTTTAAAACAGGAATTAGAGTCTCAAAGAAAATAAAAACATTTGTTGGGCGCCTAAATTACTTCCTTAAAGCATTTATTGGATGGAGAGATATTCATATATACTTTATTAATCCCCAGGGGAACATTTGCGAAATGTTATTATTGGTTGCATGACCTGTGGTGATAAAACAACTGAATGAAAACGTCACTTAGAGCGCATGCAGGCGAGCATGTAATTAGCTACAGAATAAAAAGCGGTTCCTTTCTACACAACAACTGAGATTACACACGGATTGCACCATCGCCCTGCTGCTGTCAAAACGGACCGAAACAAGACAGCGTGAAATGGGGGAAACCGTCTGGTTCACTTTGATAAGACTTTAATCGTGTTTTAACTGTTTGATTCGGCCGATATAAACTAGTTCCTTCCAAGATAATATCTTTGAGAAATGATGATAACATGTTGTAAACTGTGTCGCTTTCCCTTCCATCTACTGTAGTAACATCCTGGACACCCCTAAAAGGACAAGTGGTTTGCCCCGTTGCTACGCTATTTTGTGTGGACGTTCTCCAGGGTGATGAAGAAGATGTAGTTAGTCGGCCTGAAAATACAAAACGTTTGCAATCAATTTTTGTAAAAAACGAAAATTGTGTGAACGGGGACATTCAACATGGCCGGTATAAGGAGAGTTAACGGGAAATTATCGGGAATTAACCCGGCTGTCAGGTACGCTTCCATCGAATTGTGCTTACGGAAAACGCCTGTGTGAAGCTGCCGAGCTAACCATGCTAACGTTAGCTAACGTTAACGTTGGTGAGGAAGGTCGCGCTGCGAGGGACGTTAACGTTGGTTGTTCATCAGCAATGCTAAACACACATTCGGCTACCGGTGCCGAATCACCCGAACCGACAGCATGTATCGCTCATCGGTACCGCCAGCTCCTGACATTACGGCTAGCTGCTAACGGCTAACGGCTAGCGGGTAACGTCTAACGGTAACCGGTAACGTTCACGGGATTCATATCGTATGTAATTGAATCTGGGGAAGTGACGTTCATTTTGGAATACTCGATCGAAACGTAACGTTTTATAACGTTCTATTTTTTGACTAACGTTAATTAACTGATTTATTTTTATCGGTCCAACTGCTGGATAAACAAACCGTTATTAACTATTTATATTCACATAAAAGCGTTATGAGGAAAACTGGCGTAAAGCACTGTGGTGAGCAGGATATGTTTGACAAACCCAGATAATCCATCATGTGGATGGGGATTAATAAAGTGTATATCTCTCTAAGGGGAAATTTGTGAAATGTATTTGTAAATAAGGTCCTGTGTTTGTTGTGATGGAACTGTGACGTGTGATTTCGTGGACTGCGGTAACTTGTGTGCAGATGAGCTGCTGCTCCAAAGGGATTCCGCTGGAACCTTTTAACTGCTTCATGTTAACAACCAAACATCAAGTCCTTCTTCCTTGTGACTTTGTCCAGTTGCAGTCGCCTGCGTCAGGTTCAGTCTCTGCTGCGTGACGGCGGCCCCGCGGCTCCCGAAGGCGTCCTCTGCTCCCTGGGTACGGATGCTGAGGAACCTTTCTCCGTCCTGTATTGCTCCATCCCTCTGCTAAAGGAGGAGGGAGGGAGTAGTCATTCAAAAACTGCCAATGAAATAATACTAATGTCATTTCCTTGTGTGATTCAGGGATTGACAGCAGATATAATGAGGGGTGCAGTGAGCTGGCCAAGTACCTGTTCTACGGGCTGTATGGGAGAAACCAGCTGAGCCTTGAACATGCCGTCGAGGAGTTTCCTGATGAAATGCTGGACGGTGAGTTTGTAACCAGGTTCCTTTGCTTGCCTTAGCTTGTATCCATTGTGACACGTTGCTTGTCTGCTTTCTAGATGTAATCCTGCTGATCCAGGCACAATGTGTTCATCTGTACTGCAACCCGCTGAACTACAGTTACCTGTTGCCCTACGTGTCCCACTGGAGGAACCTGCATCTCTACTGCATGACGGAGGCGGAGGTCAATGCTTCGGTCTTCTTCCGTCTTGTTGATACACTTCCTGTTGGCTTCAGATATCAAGAGTATTCTGGAATGTGCATGTATCCATCCGGCTAACATTTTAACCCTTGGTGGTCACTGTTAATTGGCTTAAGAATTGCACCGCGTCTACCTGCGCTGAACAGGGAAAGCAGCACATTCACTTTAAATAATGTGTGCGCAGGTTGGCTCAGTGCCTTCAAGTAATGTAAACTGTTGATTTGACCCTTCGTAGCAGTGTATGTGGTAGGAGATTGGGTCCTTTTTAAAATTGTCCTCACCCTTCAAACACAGTATGAAGACGAGGAAGCAGCAGAAGAATTCAAGATCTCCAGTTTCGTCACAATGGTGCAGGACTGTTCTCGCATCGGAGTCCCTTACAGCTCCCAAGGTGCTCCTCCTCACGTTCAGACCTCCACATGCATTCACCACGCACACACACACACACGTGTGAGAGACATCGGTTTAAATATATAACCACACAGCTGAATGTTGACTCTTCTTTTCCCTGTAGGACACGTCCAACGGTTCGACATGTTCATGGTGGAAAAGTGGCCCCTGATTCAAGCCTTTGCCCTGGAAGGCATCGGTGGAGGGAGCTTCTTTACCATGAAGTACAAGGTAGCTTCAAAGTGGCTCGAAAAGTAGCTATTTAAATGTATTACTTCTTGTTTGAACATTTTGAATATATTCCTCCTTTAGCTGATGGACATGAGCGATATGCTGTGGCAAGTTTACAACAGACTGGACCCAGTGTCCCTGGAGAATCTCCTCACTGAGGTAACGTTCGCACCCACCTTCACTTTCACTCAATATTTTTGACACAATATTCTTTCGCATGTCCATGTCTCAGGAACAGCAATCATTTACAAAAGGAAGTCATGAAAGTTTGATTATCTCAAACAAATAGCGCATTAATCCGGCCCTCAATCGATGGTTTATTAATGATTCATTGATAGGATCCTCTCTGTATGACACGGTTTGCTGTATCTTGTAGGACTTGGTGAACTTTGAGAAGCAGTGGAGTGGCTTTTTCTCCAGCATGGACCTGGAGAGCCACCTGTCCATCCTGGAGCTCTCCGAAGCACAGGCAGGAGAGGTACGTTTAATGGGACAGGACGTCAAGTCCACGTCAAAGAAGCAACGCATATCTTCAAACTGCATTGTTCCATGTCTGCCTCTAGTAGTACTACGTGTACTCGCGTCGGCATAAAGCGTATTCTCGTCAACCCACAGGCATTCCGTACTTATTACTCTCACGGACTGATCTCAAGTAACATCACGGATAAAAGGTTTGTGTCTTATTCCGAAACCTTATTCATCAGTTCAATATTCTCGTGATTTCATGAACATGAACTATACAAATGCTTTATCAAATGTTTCTTATTTCAGTAAAAGTCAGCAGCCCTTTGTGCTGTTTGGAAAGCACTCCTCCTCAGAGGATTTGGAGGCGTATTCGTTCAACTTTCCCTCCGAGAGTCATCAGGTCCGAAACACCGGACTCGAGGGTTCTGCAGCCAGACACATGGTGAGGAGCCAGGACACAGCTGGTCGTGGAGAATAGTAGTAAACCCGAACTTCTCTGCTCAAGGAGACATTACTCCCCCACATCTTTACTTGGAAATAGTCTGTTGCTGCTGCAGTGTTGCTCTGCTTGTGGTATTCGGACCCTTCAATGTTTTCACATTGCTCACGTTAAAGAGGAAAAGTGGCCTGCAGCACCACCTGGGGAAGGGATCCGGTACCATGGATCACTGTGTGGAAGCATGTTCTCACTGACCCCGTGTGTTCTGTACGTGTCACATTTAGGTACTAAGGTGTGAAGTGGGGACGTGCCTTGAGTCTGTCTGTCAAATGAATCCCTTTTTGTTGATCAGATTCTGCAGTGCGTGGCTCCCAAAGGACCTCTGGCCTGCTCGCGAACCTATTTCTTTGGGACCACCCACTCGCCATACCTCGGTGAGCTTTTGCTTTATGCCTATTTCATATTGATTAATTTTAGTGCACATTTGTAAAACATTAGATCAAAATGGTTTAGGCTTTTTTTTTACATAACAGAGACCCTCTGCAGCTGTGAGTTGCTGCTCTGTGATGAGTTAAATGTACGATGCAGAACGAGAAGCCCTTATGTGTGTTGTTGGAATATAATTTCTATGTTTCATCCACAGGAAATCCAAACACAGCGCAGAAGAACACCGACGTATTGTAAGTGATTTAGTTTTAGATGTTATAATCAATACTTAATTGTTAGATGCTGCAGATTGTCAAAATAAAAACACACCCACACTCCATCTTCTGTCAGACTTCTGTCACAGGTGTATTCGGCTGCTGTTCAAGCCGTCCTGTCGGGAATCAAATGCTACTCGTTTACCTCGAGTGCAACCAAGGTAAGAAAAGCCGCAGCATCTGCTTTCGTCCTTCATTACATTACGTTACATTACAGGTCATTTAGCTGACTCTTTTATCCAAAGCGACTTACATTACATTTTAACCCATTTTACATTTACAAAGTTTTACTTCACTTCACAAAGTACTGAACACGTGAGCAGTTCCTCACTGAGGCTGTTTCTCACCACAGGCCAAGGACGTAGCAGAGAACACCTTTCTGGTGCTGCTGGACTCGATGAATCTAAGTCGGTACCGCAGTTCTCTCAGGTACAGATCGAATTCCTCCGTCCTCTCAGGCGTGAATCTGATTCATCCGTTTGAATTGGTTGGAATTACTCTTTTCTTTTTCAGGTCCAAATGTGAATTCAACATTCAAGCAGTAAATATGCAAGGAAGGTGGGTGTCGACTGGTCCTTTTTGGACCGCTGGTCTGTTCTTTTTTTACACAAATCCTGAAAGATTTTTTTTTTTATTTTTTAAATTTGAGGACCTGTTTATTTTTGTTTTCAGGATCATTCCTCTGACTGATGGAGATAGCCGTTATGCAGTAAAAACAGTAAGTTAGAGAGGAAATTGAACTTTCTCTTTAGTGTCCCTCATAAATGCTCGTTTTGTTCTTTCTTCCTCTCTATAATTCTGCTTTTGTTTTCTCAGGCCTCAATGACGGTCCGTGACATCCCAGACCTGCAGGGGGGCCGGGGCAACCTGGGCTCGGTGGTCTTCTCTGAATCCTTCTTGGAGTCCGGCATCAACATCCAACAGAAAGGTCCGGCACTGATTGAGTCCATAAAGGACGTCTGAGTTACAGACAGATGAATACAGGGACAAATAGAAGTCATTTGCAAAGAACAGGGCACCACTTTGTTTGTTGGTCTGTCCGTCTCCTGCAGATGGCGCCGTGTCCTCAGACAGCTGCTACAGCATCCTGACCACGACTGTGCCGCGATACGCCTGCTGGCTGGTACGTGTGTTCTGCCAACCTGAAATTAAGAATAACGAAATGGACCGGATGCTTGGATACTGACTGTATCTGACTGACTCTCCAGTGGACTCCTCCTTAGTTTGAGGAATACACCCTTTTAATTTCCCCCTGCATTGTTTGTTTGGTTTCTCATGGTCAAATATTTTCTTTAGATGGAATCTGACTTCAAGCAGTCTGAGCAAGCCCAACATCTTGCTAAGGTGAGTTGCTACACGTTTTGTATGAACACTTCTTTGTGTGCGTGCGGGCACCTCGTCACTCCCACTGTGTGTCTTCAGCAGAAAGAGGAAGGCACGTGTTTGGGAAGTTCTCTGACTGCAGCGGACGCTGCGTACGTGATCTCCAGCAGCCAGCTCTCCGCTCCAGAAGAAGGTGACGCTCCGCAGTGATAGCGACATTTCTGACACAAGGGTTAAAATGTATTGACGGTAACTCACCATGCTGCTGTAAAACCTTCCATTGCTGATTCTGGAGTTATCAAAGTCCACAATCCACCAAACTCCCAGTTATGTCAACAAAATGGATTCAAGTCATGGCTATATTCGAAGTATTTCATTTCCTACCTGATGTGACAAAGAGTGCTGATTCTGTCTTAATGTTTCTTCAAATGTTGATCATAGGAAAGATTATTTTCCTCTCTGGGGGCCTCCTGTTCATCCATCCTCAACATGGAAGCATCACACTGTCCAAAGATCACATCAGCTCCATCAAGTTCTATGACCCGGTAATATTCACAGTCCACATGTGTACTTCTAAAGTTCTATTCTGTACTTTCTCAGTTTCTTTACTGTGATAAAACACAATAATATCCGTATGCCGTCTGATTTGTGTGTGATTGACGCGTTGTTGTGTTGCCAGGACTCCGGCGCCGTGGCATCCCTGCTGGTGGAGTACGACAGCGGCCTGCTCCCCCACCTTCCGTTCCCCCTGCACAGCGCTGACCGCTGCCTGCTATTTGCTCTGCAGCCCCGATCCAAGAGCCACAGGGCCTTTTACTCCAAGGTGAAGCCTGAGGCCTCATTGTGGCTGAGTAGAGTCGTTCCCAGCAGCCGGCCGCCGCTCGCCAACGCTACACGACACTAAATCATACACACTGCCTGATACAAAACAACATGGGAAAGCCCCATCTTGTGTTTACCCCGTTTTATCAAATGGTCTTTCGGGTTTTATACGATGCTATAAAGTAAATCGGTTATCTGAACCCTTTCTCTTGGTTTCAGGTTTTGTCAGTGTGGAAAAAATCTGATTCTGGACTTAATCTGCAAATGGTGGACCAAAAGCACCTGAGCTGGAACCAGAAGAACATGTAAGATCACTTTTAAGACCGAAGGCTGGTTGTCAGTATGTTGGGTTCCATTTCACAGTGTGGAAAGGAAGCAGTTCGGCCTTGTGGTGAATCACAGTTTGGGAAATGTTTTTCATCTTGTTTAAATCCAACAAGGTCGATTGAACACAAAACAAAGCAAACAGGCTGATACTTTCTGACACTTGGACACAAAATGTTTGGACATATTCAAGTCTTTTACTGCCAAGCCGCCCGATTCATTGTTCCAACTCTTTCCACTGAGTGATTCTGTCACATGTAACTATAAATGCCATGTTGTAGCTGCGTTGCTCTATATTTAATATGTATAAAGTGACTCGGGGAAATGGACTCTTCTTTCCCTCTCAGGCACAATCGAGTGCAGAAGCTGCACGACAGCCAGGAGCCGCCAGTGGCCAAACGCCGGGGCAGCCTGAAGACTTCCTACTGCCAGCTGCCGGAGCAGGACATGTTAGTTCACACGAGTAATAAAACCTAACGAGAGGTCGCCCCAAAATAGCACTTTAAGCCTGCGTTCCTTGATACAGGGTCTTCATCTTTGTTAACCATCTGCTCTTGAAAGGTCTTTTCTTCTGGGAGAAAGCACATCGGCTCTTACTTATCCGTGCACGGATATCTTATTTCTCGTCGCTGTAACAAAGACGACCACATGCAGAGATCACTTCTGAGTCTGCTCAAATCTGTCCCCTCCTATGATTAGACGTTCAACTGTTTAAGCTTTCGCAACACTAGTCAACGTTTTTCTTAATACTGCTCCGTTCCAGCAGAAATACCATAACTAGATTAGATTTAACCAACGCTATTCCTTCCTGGTCCTCGTGTTCTGGTCCAGGTTTCTTCAGCACTTCGCCCTGAGTAGCATCGGTCAGGAGCCCATTCTGTATGACCACCTCGGGGTTCTGTTCACCTCTGCAGAGCTGAGGGAACCAGTCAGCAGCCACGGGGACAAGGTGAGAACGTTACGAAGCTGCAGCGGATCCACACACGGAAAACATTCATCTTCCTTCAAAGAATGCTTTGTCCCGTCCTCCTGAACTCTAATCTCATCTCGTCCTGTTCACGTGTTGTCAAAGGTTGTCATAACCATCATCACCGGATTACCGGGAAGCCACAAGAAAAGACTCTGTGACTTCCTGGTCCAGTTGAACAAGGAACATGGAAGGTGAGAGATTCCGTCCAACGAGGTTCCTTCTGTTTGCTTTATAAACCAATATATATATATAGTTAAAAAGCATAATCTGTCACGATCATCAAATAATAGAGAGCAAAAGCTAAAATATACAAGCAGATTCATTCAAAATGTAAATTTATCTTGTAAAATAATTTATTTTTTCAATACGCATATCAATTTGAATGTTTTACTTAAAGTGCACTAGTCTGAATCTTCATGTATCAAGTAATTAACAAGTCTTCCTCATTTTAAATTCAGTCATAAAAGGTCATAATTAAAATAACAGTAGCCACAAAACCACATTAACTTGGTTATGCAGAATTTGTAATGGCACAAAAAATACAACTATGTTAGTTTGTGGGTCTTTTGTTTTAATATTTGTAAACTTTCAGCTTTAACTACTTCAGTTCAAATCATTCAAGTTACGTTAAAACGGCAAAATCTAAATCTTGCGTCAGAGTCCAAATGCGTACGGCCCTGTCTGCATGTAGTAGCTGTAAGCAACACAAACAAACACACAACAATTATATTTTCATGTGACCCGTCCTTCAGGTGGCTGGTGTACCGGCCGGGTCCCGACCGCTGCGGCGGCTTCTCGGCCTCGGACCTGCAGCAGTACATGTCGGGCCTCCTGCAGAGCCTGAGAGGCCCCGGAGGCAAACCCCGCCTGCTGGTGGTGTCCCCTGGGTGAGGAAGCCCGCCGCTCCCCCTCACACAGCTTGGATCTGAGAAGTCTAGACCCCAGTGGAGCCTTGAGGAACCATCTGTGTACCAAAAATACTTCAATCTAACATCACATGATCCTGGTCCAGAGCTTTGTGCTCGTTCTTACTGAGATTCTCTTCGCTATGAGCACATGACGAAGGGAGGAGACTAGATTGAACTGCTGTGTGTTGTGTGTTTCTTCTTGCACAGATATACGGACGTTCTGGAGGTGGTCCAGGCGGTGCTTTTCCACCCGGACCCAGTTGTCCAAGCGTGTTTCACCATCGGCGCCGTCACAGCTTGTGTGGACCCCCTGGCCTCCTGCGTGGAGCACAGGTGACGGTTTCTTTCTCCAGATGAGGTCCCACCATCAGATGAGTTCATCTCCCTGAAATCGAGCTGGTTGTCGTTTGACGAAATCGCACGACTTCTATCTGAAATAGACAAAAAAACAAAAGGACTGGAACTAGACGCTAAGTGGAACGTGATGGATGCGATAAGACCCGACAAAGACTTTGTAACGCGTGACGGCTGTTTGCCTTCTGGAGTCTCAAACAGCTCCCGAGTTTAGCCCCGTTTCACACTGGAAACTCAAAGCCAAGTCGATTTTCAGGGCTGAACCCCTGAAAAAAATTACATCACTTTCAACTTCAATGTTCTGAACGTTTGATAAAACGTATTAAATAAATATTGAATTTTATTCTGCTCGGTTGCCAACACAACCGATTTAGTGACTCCGTTGCATTCAACTCAAACACGGCACTTCAATACGTGTCGCGGTCCTGCAGCCGCCTCAAAGTAAACGCCACTGGCTGCAGCTTCCACAAGAGCCCCATAAATCCAATGAGAAGCAAACCAGCCTGGCAGGAATCACATGAATTGATTTGGTGACCCGGTTTCACAAGAAATGCCTCAGCGAATAACGTCTTTATCCGTTTTCCACAAAAAAGGATTCCATATGTGTTTTTATTCTTACATGCAGCTGACAAAGAACTACTGTATTTAGTCTTTTTTGTGCATGTTTTACCAAAGGTACATTTGCTGTAACACCAGTGGTGGAGCCTTGGATTCAAACTGAGGGTTCACTCCGCTATGTTTTGTAATGTATGCACAGACGGACCACAGCGTGACGGACAGGGCCGGATGCTGGCGGGTTGCATGACACTTTTAGCCATTAAAACTAAAGGCTGGGCCCCTTCTGCAGAGAGGATCAGTCCTAAATTTAATCTCACTCTCCTTTTGTTCCAGGCTTTAGCTGTAGCTTACAGAGCTTCTCACTGTCTGAAGATTGCCCGAGCTGTTCCACCCAATGTGAAATAGCACTCCGGGTAATAGGCTGCTTTCACTGCGCAGACGGCCAGATGAAGTCCGTCTAGAGGGTCCACTTTCTACCACTCGCTTCACCGTCTTCTTCACCGCTCCGCGCAGTCCTCTAGATGAGGACGTTGTCTCACTAGCTGACCCTTAATAATCCATCTCGTATCCTGGGCGACCGTCCCGCTTGACTCTGCAGTGGAAACACGTGTGACAGAAGGCTCAGTGCATCGTGAGGCATCTTCAACAAGCTGCCCCCCCCACACCTGCCCCCCCCCCCATCACTGTCTGTTGAGTGTACAGATCTGCAGACCCACTGCGGTGCTAATTGGGAGTGGTTAGCCCAGCTTAGGCCTGACCTGCCTGTCACCCTCCCTGCAGCATAGCCCCTCTAATCCCCCAGGTCCACATGTGTGACCTCTGCTCCCCCCCATCCATTCTCATCCATTCTTTGTGATAAATGTAGACCGTTCATTACATCAGGACGGGGAAGATGAATGCCTTTCAAATCGCTGATCCCTCCGCCGGCAGCCTCCATGAGAGCGTGGGGGGGGGGGGGGGGGGACTTGGCGCAAAGTCACGATTATTCAGAAAGTGGTTTATAACACTGATCGATTTGAGAACTTAAATTGAGTTAAGATGAAAGGAGGTTAGAGGAAGCTTTTACATTGGCCAGCTGCCAGTCACATGATGTCATCTTATCATAAATGCCCCGTGACTGATTATCAGCAGTAACACAGAATTAGCCTGTTTACATTAATGGACAGCGTTGTCCACAATCTAAAGTTATTGTCAATGATGATGTTGTGGAACAGGAGTTCAAACAAAGGGGATTATGAATGAATCACATGGCAATGCAGCTCATACGGGACTGAGACTAATATTTATATGTGTTCATTTATATTCTTCTGTCTCTGCAGGTTTGCGTTCCCTAAACTGTTGGAGCAGTGCAGCCAAGGTAAGTCCTGTCTGATAAAGAAAATACATTGAGAATACACTTGGAATACTACATATTAGTAGTGTAATGCTGTTTTTTACAGAGCTGTACAGCATTTCCATCCCATTTATGTGATATAAGAATGTCAGTGGAGAAACTCTCACTTAAGATATTACCAGCGTGCCGTCTTCCTCCCCCACTGTTGTTGTCCAAAGCTTTAGATAAAGTCTCACCGCACACGCCATCTTGTTTTTCTACAGTGAGAAAAACCTTTAATGAAATATGGTGTTCCTGCAGTGCCAACACACGCACACACACACACACACACACACACACTTGATTCTGTGTCCTGCGGACAGTGAAGCGGCTTCTCGTGGGACTCACCTTCCCCCTTTTGGCGCCTTGTTGTTGTGTGTCAGGTGTTGTGAGCGCCGTGGTGTTCACGGGGGGCTCAGCGGAGCAGAAGCATCCTCTCGTGCAGCACGTCCAGCAGCTGGTGCGCTCCGCCAACCCCACCGCCGCCTTCATACTGGCCGAGAGAGGAGCTGTCACCAGGTAGCCCCCCCCCCCCTCCCGCCCGCTTCTGTCAACCGCTTCATATTTGCGTCACTCACTCGTGGCCTCATTCATTCCACATTTTGGGTCAACGGCCTTTGTGCTTAAATTAGTGAACGTTTGCCCATTTCTGTAACGTGAACGGCTTCATGTTGTGTGTTTCTCTTCTTTCTTTGGCTCAATTAGGAACGAAGACGTGAATCTGATCTTTTCTGAGAGCAGCTTCAGTGAGCCACAGATGCTGAGAGCCCGTTACGTCCTCTACCCCGGATGGTAAGCCCCTCCCCCTTGTCTTAGCTGGTCGTGACCCCTGTGCGCCCTCCGGCGTCCTCACTGACCGGCGGGTTGATTCCTGCCTCAGCGTGACCACGCCCCCTCCTCCCCGCCTGCGCCTTAATCGCCACTCGGGCTACAGTGGTGGGGGTATCGGAGCTGCTGGCCATGCGCACCCAGGGGCCATGTCCTTTCAGCTCTCGCCCCCCTGGGATCATTCACTGGGTCAAAGTGACCAGTCCGGCCCCTTCATCCGCTCGTCACGAGCCTCCTCCATGCGGGCAGCCGGAGGAGTCAACGAGCTCCCGGCCAAAGACAAAATGTCGCACAAACACTCGGCCTGGTCTCCACTTCGCTCTCTCCCCATTTGTGCTTCAGGTGCAGACGGCGCTTCTCCTGCGGCTGCGGGTGTCTGGTCCTCTCCCAGCAGCGCGTGGCCTTCAGCCGGCCCCTGGAGAGGCTTCTGTTTGTCCGCCGCTGTAAAGGTGAGACGGAGATGACTCCCTCCCTCCTCTTAGACGTGACACAAGTTCCTGATGTGAGCCGGCGGGCTTTGATGACGATTATATAAGCTGCCTTTCTCTCCAACGCCTACGCCTGAGGTCTCAAAGTAAGTCCTTATTTAAACTCTCATCACTTTCCTGTAGCACTCAAGTCGTCCCTAAAGCCGAACCCCCACCGAGGAAACGTCTACAACGTTTGGGGAAAACTCCAATTTTCTGGTAGGAAGATCCTCCTTTCATCTGATGTTCGCCTTCGCAAATAATACAACTTATAAAATTTCAGATGCGATTTTGAATTCCAGAGAATCGGCTCTTGTGAAGCATTGATAAACAAATGTGACTTCTTTTGACCTGCGTTTGCGTTTCCCAGTTGTGTGAGTTGTTAGAGAAACGGTTGCCCTCAAGGCGGCCGAGGAGCGGCTGACGGTAGGAATCCGCTCGCTTGTTGTCTGGTGGTTGGAACTCAGCTCATAGTTTGGTTTCCTCCGTATGGTTTTTCCCCACTCTCTCTCTATCTGTCCATCTGAAGACTGTCCACTCGTTGCATGGGGAGAGATGTGCAGATGGGAGACAGTAGAACGAATGAGATCGCCCTGATCGCAGTGCTCACATGTCCTCCACCTGGGGAGTGTTTCATTTGCATCACGTTATATTCAGTTACTTTACTTTCTCTCATTTTCTGTGCGTAGCTGCTGCACAGCCAGCGCTTCTTTGACTTTGAGTTCGAAGGAACTTTCCTCCTCGTTTCTTTTTATAGACGGTATAGATGCGTATGGATGCTCAGACATTAACGCCTCCCGCTGTGGCAGGTGTTGCTCAAGGTGTGAAGTGCATGTGCTCCTTCTTCACCTCTGGCACCTCCAGACTCCGAGCAGCTGATGGAGGTGAGCTACAACACGCCGAGCGGGAGCCTCAGCGTGGCCCCGGACCGCGGCGCCGACGACCCCCCGGCCCCGGGCGCGGCCTGCTTCCTGGTCTTCGACGGCGTGGGCCTCGCAGAGGACGGCCTGAAGGACTGGCTCAGGCTGTGCGCCAAGCAGGTCGGCGTCTAAACCGCATCCCGGGCTCCTGGATGGATTATTACTTCCTAATGGCACACGAGTCCTCACGCGGCCGTGATTTGCTTTTGGTGTTTACAGAAGCAGAAAAAGAAACCCAAGAGGACTAAAAACTCCCTTTCACCACAAGAAATCAAGAGCATCCATGTAAGTGTGTTTATTTCCATAACTATGAATAGTCCGTTAATAATGGCCAGTGGTGGAATCATGTGTGGACAGAATGACATTAAAGCCACGCGGTGGAACATTGTCCACTAGCAGCAATGCTTTTATAAGCTCAGGCCAGCTTTGCTATAAGTATATTGAATTACCAGAATGCACACGCATCCCCCCCCCCCCCCCGCTGCTTTATTTTAAGGCTCCCCCAAGTGGATCCAATCAAAGTGCAATAAAGCAAAAAGCGCTGGTGTTGAGAACACGTTGGATCACTGAAGAAGTAACGCCGTGCGCCTCTCAGACACACACAGCTGTGCATCATTCTGCTCATTCGTCGGCGACGTCTCGTCATTCGTATCTTTCGGGAGGACAAAGGGGAGCAGAACATGTGGGGATGTTCTGGTAAACATGAGTCGAGCCTTTGTGACGTTGTGGAGGATCCGGTTGAAAGGAGTAGTTGCTCCTTGGGTTGCTGTGCGTTCGTCCTTTGCATGTCTTCCTCTTACCAGGGTTCCTACGCGTGTTTGGAAATCGACAACCGCAGCTCATTTCTGGGGGGGAAACCTGCCACACGTCAGCTGCACATTTTGCTGGCATGAGACCCGCTGTGTGATGTCTGAGCAGGCGTTTCAAAGTAAAAGCGCGGTAAAAAAGGGTGCAGGAGCCCTGTTACAACTTTGAGTGTCTATTGATTAAGGGGTCAGCAGCGTAACCAACTAACAAGCCGCTACTTTTGTCTCCAGTGAATCGACGCTAACAAAGGAACATTTCCGCGCACGTGGTGCTGCCACCACGACGGCTCGACAGAAAAAAACCCGGTCCTGCGTTCACTGCGACTCAAAGGAAGAACGTCTGATTCGTCGGCTCCCTCTTCGGTTCCTATCCGGGACATTATGAGACCAGTGGGCCCTCGCGTCGTCTTTTACATGTCTGCCTGTCGACAGCCGGTCAGAAGAATCAATCATTTAGCTTTCAGGCGGCAGGCAGAACAAAAGAGTCTCCAACTGAAAACACACTGCTGTCCCCGTCCGTCCTCAGGCAGAGTATCGCGCTGCGTAGGACAGCACGTAGCGGTGAGCTCACTCAATTGTACCCTGTCTTTTTATATATATATATATATATGCATATATATTGTACTTACAGTCCCCTCCTGAAGCTCTTTGAGGACAAAGCCGCCGGCCCCTCGCAGCTCGCATCCCGAGGACCTTAAAAGGCTTTGAACCAGTCCGGGTTCGTTTGTTGCAGAACGAGATTGCCGCGCTTCCAAAGGGCAACGTGATGCAGCAGACGGATTACGTTGGGTTTGTTTGTTTTTTTTCAAAGTGGAGCACATTAATCCCGTGTTGACAAAAGGCCAACCGGTGTTCTTAAGCCGGGTGCCCTGTTCAACGCCGCAGCAAAGCTCTCCGTGGTTACGCAACGCTGCGGGGAGGTCCCTTGATTGACAGCGAGAGACAGAGAGCTCCCCGTCTCCGGGACCTGCTGTCCCCCGTCAAAGAGCAACTGTCCTTAAAGAGCGGAGGGTTATGTAAGATGCGTGTGGTGTTTAAATGAATCGCATAAGACACGAACGTCGACACTTTGCGTGTGTGGAGACGTCCCGTGGATGTGACAAAGTGGCCTTTCACCAAACGGTACCAACACAGACAAAACAATCACATTTATTTTACATATCTGCTGAGAAATTTGAATTACCTCGGACACGACAAATAGTATTTTTGTAACGACTGTGAATTGAGAATTCTAGATGCAAACTAAACATCTCGTTTCGCAAAAGCAAAGCAGATGCAAAAAAAAAAAACCAAGAAGCTGAAAGGAGGCGTCGGTTCCTCCGGTCCAGCGGTGCCTTGCTGCGGCCGAGGGAAGCCCAGATTAAAGCTCCTTCAGCAGTGTTGGTGAAAGGAACCCACGGAGTCCGAGGGCGGAGCGGGCGGCGTCACGGCGGGCGGAGGCCGCCGGAGGGCTCGGCCTTCAGGTGAAGTCCTGCAAACTGACCAAAAAAAAGAGGCGGGACGTCCACAGCTCGTATTTCTTCATATTTAACATCGAGCTGCTTTTGTCTTGAATGACGATCCCGTCTTTTGGGACAAGACGAGGAGAAGTTTGGGTTTGCTGGGTGACCCCCTACTTCTATTGCACATGTGGGGGGGCCCGAAGAGCCCTCCACAAGCCTCCGGGTGTGCCCGCCCTGCAGCTCTGTGCCTTCATCCCGCGTGTGGGGGCCAGCGAGTTATAGGACAAAAACAAAGTTTGGTGTTATTGCTTTTATACAAAGGGGGCCGACCGTGTGCACTTGTTGAAGAATTGGATATTTATCTTTATGCTTATTGGAAGTTTTTAACCGTCCAAAACATTCCATATCCGGGCCCCCCCCCCCGGTCGCACACAGAGGAATGTGCTCAGGTGTTCTTATTATTCGCTCACCTGAGGTTTACATTTGCCCCAATCCAAGCCGAGGGGGGGGAGGGGGGGGAGTCGAAAAATAATGATTCACGCCGTGATGACGTCACAGGGATCATTTTTAGGCCGTAGAAGAAGAAGAAAAGAACTAAAAGGGGCCAAACTCCCTCGTGTGGTTTGGACGTCCGCGGACGAACTGCACTGAACTGCGTTTGCACAAAAATCTACTGAAACTTGTGTTTTTCTTCTGTGACGGATGCTTTTATAACCTAACTGTTGTTTTTACTGCACCACGCGTCCCATTAAATATTTACATGGGTGATCCCCGTTTCCTTTGTCCTTTATTTCACGCCCTCTAGTACTGGGAGAGGTAATCTAAAGTGTGTGTGTGTGTGTGTGTGGAAACAGTGCTGAGGGAACGTGAGGAATCTTCCACACACACTTTTAGCCCTCCGTTTCCTCGTGTGTGTGTGTGTGTGTGTGTGTGTGTTGTATTGTATTGTTGCCAGGCAGATGCAGTCCTCCACATGGCTCACCTCTGACATCATTCCTCGCCTCTCTCTCCCGCCACCACTAGCCGCTACTTTCTCCCCAGCGACTCGTGGCAAGACCCCCTCTCCCCCACTCCCCCCCCCTCACCCTCTCAGCTCAAATACACTTGAGTGTCGCTCCCACAAAATAACACTCCCCCCCCCCCCCCGATGCCCGAAATATTAAGTTTTACTGGGGGGAATTGAGGGGTAATATGAACATGTAAACACTCATCACTCTCCTGCCGGGGGGGGGGGGGCCGGGGGTCACTGCAACAATGGGGCATTGTGCTCGAGTGGGGTTGGAAGGTACTTACTCTTTCTTTTAAATCAAAGCGGAGAAGATGATGTGTTGCATGTTTTGTTGCGATGGAAAGGAAGGCGCCGCCGGCCTCGGACCCAACAAAGGCCGTCAGACGGGTTGGGACCGGTGTTTCCATTATTTTGTCCACTCCGTTTCCATCAGTGAGGGTGGGCAAGATGTGTCTCACAAAAACAGATGTAATAAAAGATTGTCATGTGTCATTGAACCCCAGAAATTGAAGTGACGCGTATTACGCTGCATGGTACAAAACTAAACGTAAACCGTTCTGACAAACCGAAACTAAACAAGCACCCTAGAAACAGAAAAAGTAACTCAAGCTCAGATGTTTAAAAAGGAAAAGGATTAAAAACTGTTAAAACCTACAAGCTTTTTTTGAGTTGATAGTACTTTTTATTTTTCTGTTTATTTTTTTTTGTTTTAATATAATTGACAGGCCTCCATATTGAAGCCATGTGAGAAAGAGAGACACAGATTCTGATATTGTTCTCACAGTACATTTTATTTCATGCCCGAAGCCGCTGTTGATCTGTATGACATCGTCTTTTTTTTTGGATCAAACAACAGCTTTAAAAATAAATCCCAAACAATTGGCAGGTAAGTTTAATATTGCATATTTCTATCACTTCATTGCTACAAAGTTTACGCAAAACCTTTTGTCCGCTTGTGTTGTCTTGATGCCATCGAACCTGAGCGGGTGTGACTACCGTCAGTCCGTATGAACAACGTCACCACGTAGCCGTGTTCGGAGGAGCACCCGTCTGGAGGCTTGTTTCCACATCCCTCCCCCCCAGCTGCTCAATGTCAAAGGTCAACAGCACCGCCATGTCACCGGACTCCCCCGAGGCGGCGGCCAGTTTCAGAGGCTGGAGGCCGCTGCCGCTGAAGACCTCGCCCTCCCACACTCTGCTCTTGTTCAGTTTCAGATCCGTCCGGGTCTCCCCCATCACGCTCACCCTCTGGGCCCCGGGGACCCTCACCCGGAAGCGGACCCAGGCCAGGCGCTCCAGGACCCCCACGCGGGGCTCGAAGAGCACGCAGCCTCTCCTCCAGGCGGAGTAGACGGCGGGGAACGGGGCCCCCGGCCGATCGCTGCTGTTCCTCAGGACAAAGTCGCACATGGGGTCGAACTCTCCGTCGGGGGTGACCTTGGCGTACAGGCCCAGCCGGTACACGCCGGCGCCCGGCAGGCTGACGCTCACCGTCACCTTGCTGTCCGTGTACGTGCAGAAGAGTTGCCGCGACAACGGGAAGGCCGGCGGCTTGTCCTCCTCTCGGCCGAGCACCGCGTGGAGCTCCAGGTCCCGCTGGTTCTGGAAGGTGACGTTGCACTTCCCCTGCTGGGTGCTCACCAGCGCCGTCGCGTGGCTGAACTTGGACAGCCCCGCCTCCAGCGTGCGGGTCCCCGGCCCGCACGCCGAGCCCAGGTTGGGAGGGTAGAGCTGGTCCGGTGCAACCACCTTCCCTTTGCAGCGCAACAGGAAGTTTCCGGCGTTCTGGAACTTGACCTCCGTTTTCTCGTAGTCCCGCACGAACACTGAGAGTCGGTAGAAGCCGCGCGCGGGGCACAGGACGTGGCACGCCAGGGCATCCGGTTGGATCTGAGTCGCCAGGCAGCGCTTGGCCACGGCGGCCTCCAGCCCCGGGTGGACCAGTTCACACAGCATCATCAGGGGCCTGGACGTCTTCAGCGCCAACTGGAAGGCGCCCTGCTCCACCTCGGCAGCGTCGCTGCCGAGGCTGCTGCCCGCGACTCCCAGGGAGCCGGCAGCCGGCTGCAGGCCCCAAGACAGGAAGGGGTTCTCCGGGATCTCCTCCATGGCCCTGGGGATCGGACACTCGACCGTGAAGGAGCAGACCCAAACCAGGGCCGTGGTGGCGGCTTCGGGGCGGGCGAACACCTTGACGTCGTAGGCGCCGCTCGCGGGCGGCAGCAGCTGCAGCTTCATGCTCCGGTGGGAGAGCGTCAGGAGGCCGAAGGAGGAGCCGCTGGACTCCCTCTGCTCCGGAGCTCCGCAGTGCAGGAGGTCCTGGTGCTGTGTGATCTCATAGGTGAAGGTCGCTGGCCTGGAGAAGCTGAGGGACACGTTCGCCTCGCCGTCATCTGAGAAGGAAACCACGAGTTAGACACCTTTTCTCTTTAACGTGAACAAATGGGTGCATTGACAGCGTTTTGCACGCCGTGTAAAAACCGGACCTGTGACGATGTGGAAGTAGTGAGGCTGGATCAGCCTGAGCCCCATAGTGAAGAAGGCGGAGGTCTTGAAGACCCTCCTCTCAAACTCCTCCACGGGGATGGGCGCGTCCAGGAGCTGCCACTTCTCCTCATCGGGGAAGTGCGATTCTATGAACTCCTCCGGGTCCGTCAGGAAATAGAAATCGTCGAACCTTTTTGAGGCAACGGAAGGAGACGTCGCGCTGAGTTTGAGACTGAGCTCCTCGACAAAGAGCGGCGGAGCAAACTCAATCACAGCCAAAAACCTTTTGACGAAGCTTTCGCGTTGCACATCCACTCGTCCGGCTCCCCAACAGGCGTCCAACAGGAACCAGTGTCCTCCCAGCAGCACGGAGTTCCACAGGTGATCGGATTTCACATCCTTGAGGCTCTGGCCCTGAAGGTACCCGATGCCCTTGCTGTGGCCCGGCACCTCCTGGCACTCGATGCCCACCTCCCTGTAAACACAAACCAATCTGCTTCTTTTTGTCGGCTTTTCATTATCCGCTGGGCTTAAGCCGATGTTCCAGGTTATGTTCGTGCTGAAGGTCTTTAAGAGAACACCGTTATTTCAGGCTCTGAATACATATTTTCAACTCCGATGGGACCAAGGCTGCAGCGCAACAGTGAAAGGACCTCTGAGGGGATCTGATCAGAACGAGCGCTCGGCTCTTTTGGGTTTCCGCCCAATGAAGGCTGTGTTTTTCACTTCGTACAGGAAGCTCTTGTGCGTATTGTTTCTTTCCACGTTTCTGGGAAATGTGAATGAGACGGGCGATGTGGTCTAAGACGTAAGATGTGGATGTGGTCGTGTTTACCTGCACATCTCCGCACAGAGGCTGGAGTAGCCACAGCAGACGCCCCGACCGGCGGCTATCACCTCCTCCGGGGCGCTCAGCTTCTCCGAGTGGCCGAGGTACCCGCTTACATCGTACTCTGTGGAGAAAGCATTCCTTTCATCCCAAAACTAGTGCGGTGCTTTGTATTCCACCATGGCGCTCGCTCCTGTTTCGTTCAATTTCCGAACAGGAATGAAAATTTTCTTTAATCTGGATTTTATGTTATAGACCCAAACAAAGTAGGAAAAATATGGAAAAGACTGAAGTGAAACGACAACAAAATGAATATAAAAGCTTTCAAAAAAGTCACATGATTAGTAGAAAAACCATAACAAACCTTTTATCGGAAGGTTTCTTGTGGTGCCATATTCTGTCCTTTTCGTAAAAATAGATTTTAATGGTGCTACGTTGTATCATGTCACACTTAGATTCCACCCAGCTGAACTTATTAATAAACTAATCACACGCATTTTAAAGGCATTCAGCACTGGACCAGCAAAGGAGGTGAAAACATTTGCACACGATATTGTTTTGCTTCACCAATATGACTATTTTGTGTAGGTCCAATTCCACAAAAATCAATTATATGGAGAAAAGAAACACAAGTGCATTTATGAAACGTGGCTGTAGCGGAGGACGTGTGTGTGTGTCTGTGTGTGTGTGTGTGTGTGTGTGTGTGTGTGTGTGTGTGTGTGTGTGTGTGTGTGTGTGTGTGTGTGTGGTCTTGTAAAATACCCACCGATGTTGTGGCACAGCCAGACCCAGATGGCACGAAGCCTCTCCAGCTCATTTCTGGCTCCGCGTGTGATGCTCTGCACTATGCTCTTCACATCATACACACACTTTTCCTTCAGCTGCAACACACACACACACACACACACACACAAGAGACAATCGCCGTGAGACAGAACGTGTTTGTATGGGTTCATTAGTCCTTTAAAAGCATGCAAAGAGCGAGGCTTTCTGTCTCACGCAGCGTCCCGTTGTTTTGAACAAACCAGTGTGTCCCTTCTGGTTTCAGAGTGTATCGGCCCTCAATGCTTCTCCTGCAGATCTCCGCCGCGTTTCAGTGGGTTGTGTCGTGATTAATCTTGGCGGCGTTTCCTCACCTCTGCTCCCGCGCTGACCACGTGAGCGTCGACGCCGACGAAGACCTCCGTGCCGGTGAACAGGTCCCTTCGACGACTCCTCTCCCCGGCGGCCGCAGGGGGGTCCCCCCGTCCCAGGTGGGGCTTCGGCTTCGGGGGCCCGCGCCGCTCCGCCTCCGTCCTCACGGCGCTCTTCTTCACCGCCGCGGCGGTTCGGGCCGCGCTCTCGGACGACAGCTGCCTCTTGGCCGCGGGCCGCTGATCTTCGCCCTCGACCGTCAGTTTCGCGGGCGCGCCCGGCCCGGAGGCCGCGGCCGGCTGGGGGGAGGCCGGAGTGTCCCCCCCATCGGGGGGCTCCGGACCCTCCGGGGTCTTCTTCCTGTTTTGTACCAGCGCTCCTATGACGGCGACGGGCCTCGCTTGGCTTAAGATCCCATTCTCCGGGAGTTGGTGGAGCTCCAGGGCCTTCGCCTGGACTCGTCCCTCCTGGCTCGCCTCATGTTGCTGAGGAAGGCGTGCAGCACAGGAGAAGGGGAAGGAGAACTTCTGAATTGCAACTCTAGCTGACATTATGCTGGAAGCATGGCCTCCTAACCAAAGAGAAGGTAGATGCTATTCAAAAAGACAGAAGCCAGTTTGGTTTAATCTGAGCAGCCAGAGCTTCAGTGCTTTGTTCAATGGCTCGCAATCAAAAGATCCAGCATGCACTGGGTGCAGGAGAAGGAATGTTCTACATAGCACATTCTGTGTAAGACAGTGATGAATTGGCAATTATTTCATGTCTATTCATGACCAGAAATGAACGCAAAGGTTGGAATCATTTGTCACTGTCACCGCAGCCAGCGCAGAGAAAGTCAAACCCGCCCCCCCCCCCCACTGGTGCGACCTTATAACATCCTGCGTGTGATAAACCTGCGGACAGGTGGGCCCCAAAAACAAGCGACGCGTGTCAACGCCCCCCACCCCCCCGGGGAATGCCTGTTGACCCAGACGGGCGCTGAGCGACCTGCAACTGGACGACCCGGGCGAAAACCGTGCCTGCCGAGGCTCTGTGGTTCTGACCCTGGCCTCCGACCTCTGACCCACCAGGACTAAAGCGAAAGGTCCCGGAGCATATCGCGAGGGTGACGCCACTTACGTTGGAGTCGATCCCATCCCAACGCCAGAAGACAACCCCAGTGTGACGAGCTGACTGATTGGACTTCACTCACCCTGAGAGGATTTAAGACGCCTGCTGGAGGTCCACTGTGTGTTCGCATGGTCCCCGTCACAGGGGGGAGGCTTATATACTCCCCCGGTGGCCTGCCGGGACAGGCCCCAGAATAACAGCCCTAAAAATACTACAGAGCAGTTAAGACCAGCCAATGGAGTGAGTCCCAACCCAGGAGTGTGACGTCCGTGTGAGTGCGTTTCCAAGTGTGTGTGTATGTGTGTGTGTGTGTGTGTGTGTGTGTGTGTGTAGCTTTCAGACGTGTGCTCCGAGTGGCTTTGTGTGTGTGTGTGCATGCATTTGCTAATATGCGTGTGCGTTTGCATGCTGTTGATGGACCGGGGGGGTTACAGGGTTTATGGAGGGTCCTGGCAAGCGATAACACCGGCGTCGACATCAAGCGCACCCTCGGCCCCCCTCCTCCTCCTCCTCCTCCTCCCCCCGCCTCTGACACGCACGCAGAAACACGCCGCGTGCTCCATCTCTCATTTGCATTCTGAAAGGCACCGGTCTGAATACATGCTGATTGCTTTTGTTAGATCGTGTACAGCGGAGGTCTTGGTGGTTGCACATTGGAACAGATCTTAAGAGGGAAACACGACATTAAACCACTAAAGACCCCACGTTGTCACTCTGGAGCAGCCAGGGGTCGACGGCGTGTTCAGAGCCTTTCCCTCAGTAGTAGTCATCACACTCCAAACTGTACTTAAAAAGTACTCTGTCAACAATTAGACTTCTAGTCGCATCGCTTTCACAGTACTGCGACATCTCCACAGTCCATTCTGGTGAAATATCACAGAAACATCTTCCAATTGGAAATGATTAGAACAATATTTCCATCTGAGATTTAGTGTCGCAAAGTGGCACAAAATGGAAATACGAGGACCCCAAATTTGTGCCGAACCGTCAATAGGAGCCGCGGAAAGAGGCCGCCGGCTCACGTCCCCCTTTCAGGATGTAGGCGTGATGCACAGAGAAGAAGGAGCACTTGTTGGTCAATGCCCCCCCGCCCCCCCCTGTTGATGGCGGAGGCCGCCTGTGAACCCTTACGGAGCAATTAGAACATCTGGAACAGCTGTCAGCCGGCGAATCTCGCTCCGGCTTATTAGGAAAAAGGGGGAGATATAAAGCGTTGACACGGCAGAGAAAAGGAATTCACTGCTGGCTTGAGAATTATTCTGCATTATTCTGAGACCAACACACCAATGTTGGTTCTCCAGAGTTCGCCCCTCCAACTAGGACGCAGGTCACATGATGACAACGGATCCGTCTTCGGCCTCCACAATGAAGTAAGTGGAGGATTGTTTGCTTCAAGACGTGTGCAAACACACACAAAAATGTTGCTTTAAACTACAACCTGGAGTTTTATCCAAAATACATTTAATAATAGTAAAATAGATCAAGAGGCTCTGGAGGGACCTGCGTGTGGTTTGTGTGCGTTCGACATGTTTACTCCGGACTGCAGGCACAACAAACCGTTTCCTTAAGATCTGAGGGACGAGCTGGGTTTATATCTCCAAACATATCCAAAACATATTTCTGCCTTCGGCTGTTATGTGGTTTATCTGGTTGGGGGAGGTGGGGGGGGGGGGGCGCTGCCATAACGTCCTCGGCTGTCTTGCTTTCTCCTTCTTGTAGCTGCAGCCGATCGCAGATCCCTCTGTGTGTGCAGGATGAGCAGCTGATTTTATCTTCACTGCGGCTTTTAGTTTTTATGGCAAAATTGGTAAAGTAAAAGTCAAGTGCGTGACGGCTGTGATGATCAGACACCACACAGATACAAACGGGACGTTGCATCAGATCTCAGGGATACGAGGATGTTTTAATGAAGGTGTGCTGCATGAAGTGCACCTGTTAATGACTAAACTACCCCCGCGTGTCCAAATCTACATGCCCCCCCCCCCCGGCCAACAGCTGGCGAATGCAGCTTAGAAAGCAGCGTAATCTGGACAGATGGCCTCTGGAATAATGGAATTGTTTTATATTGTGATTTTAATGGATTGTGTAAAAAAAACACAAAACATGTGATGAGAAGCTCTTGTACTGTACATGCATCATGTTACTGTGTACTACTAATGTACTACCATAGAATACCGTCACATTACCAACCTTAAGTTGTTGGAACAATTTAGGCCAAAAGCCACAAATTTAACACAACACCACAACAATATGCTAATTGGCTAACATAAGATGTAAACGACCACCCCGAGGAGACACACACAATGATACATGAATGATGCAAACCCAACACAAAGATTAGACTTTAGATTCCAAACAACCACAAAATGACCACAAGGAGGTGCACAATGACTACAAACAAGTTGTCATTTTAACACAAAGCGCCAGAAGATGACTAGACAACTACAGAAAGAGGCAGTCAACTATTAGACAATGAACAGCAACACAACCATAGACACAAAGTGAAGCCACGTTAGCTTCTTTTTTCCCCTCCGTGGTCGGTCAAAGCACGTGGAGCGCACCTTGACTACGTCACCGCTGCACGTGGACACTTTGTAGCCTCCGTGCCGGTGGGCGGGGTCACGCTGCAGGCACCGTGCGCGCGGCCACCTGAGGATGACCGCGGCGCCACTTTCAACACGCGTTTCATTTATCGCCGCGAGCACGCGACACAGACGCGGCGGCGTTCTTCTCCCTTCTCTCCTTCGCTACTCGTTTCCCGGGAACCAAAACCCGCGGAAAAGCCGGCGAGAGGAAGGACGCGACGTTATCAGAGGCGTCATGGAGCGTGCTGAGGACGACGCGGAGGGGCCGGGGGCGTCGGGGGGGTCGGGGGACCCACGCACGGCAGGTAAGAACGTGCTTTTCACTCCTCGTGTGTCGTTACAGTCAGAGAGACGAGGCATAAAGGAAGATGGAGAGAGAGAGAGAGGAACACAAAATGCACCAGAGGAGGCAAATTTACTCCAGAGGGAATCGAGCCGATCTGAAGGAGACTTGAGAAGTTTCACTTTGTTTGAATTGTTTTCAGGCTGATGGTTCCCAACTCTTCCATTCAGTTAGTATCGGTTAAACATGCCAACTACGACATCTACGGCATCAGTGGAGTCACAGGTGTTCCTCAGTCCGTGGGCATCTCGTTGATTTAGGTTTGCGAAGCTCCAGGAGGTGTGCGAGGAACAGGGCAGAGCTCGGGATGGATGGAAGGAGCAGATGTTGAGGCCACCAGTAAACACTGTCCCCGGTGGGTAAACACGTGTCAACAAAGAGCTCTGAGTGGAACAAACAGCCAAGTGTGGAATCTGGAAAGCTTCCTCCGCGGTTTCTCAGGCTCGTGTTTGGGCCTCTTTGAATATGTGTAGAAGGGAAAGAAGGTAGAAGATGGTAGAAGTCGGTGGTCACCCGATGATTTCATCAATTTATCGATTACTGCCTCGGCAAAAAAATGATACACGACGATGGCAGAATCAAGCCATCATTCAAATAATTTATCCAGTGAACTTCCAAATCTTCTCGAGAGTAAAGATTTGCTGCTTTGTCTCACGTTATTCCCATAAACAAAAGTAAAACAACAAAAGTCGTTGTATTTAACACACAAAAATGGGAGGGCATTTTGAACTTTTCTTAAATTTGACAGTAGCATACGGTTAATCGAAAAACTAGAGGAGGTGATTGTTGGACAATCATAATGTTGTAAAGAGGTTTTGCTTCATACCGAAGGCTTTCTGTTTTTTTTTACCACATAACGATGAAATCAAGGAGCTTCACAGAAAGACCCCGTTAGCCTTTCGACCCTTACTTTCCTTATCTTGTCTTTCTTTTAATTGGTCGCTGCAGAGCAGAGGCTTTACAGCCTCCAATCCTTTCAACAAAAAAAGCAAAAATCATCCCTTTGACCTTGAATGTCCTCAAACATGCACTTTTTCCTCATTTCACCCGGCGTGCGTCGTGTAACGGACCGTCTTAACTAGGATTACCTCTTTCTTTCTGTTTTTTTTTATTTTTATTGGTGCCATTTGGCGGACACTTTCACGCTGAGCTCCTGGTGGACTTGAGAGTGCAGACATGTTGTTCCGTTCCGGGTGGAGTGGAGCTTCTATCTGTGGCGCCGGTGATGCGGCGCTCTACACGGTGACCTCCTCGGGAGAACACACTGTGACCATGTTAGGACCGCAGAGAACGCGCTTCGAAAATGTCTTTAGGCAACAGCATCCAAAAAAACCTTTATTCCTCTTTCTTAGTTTATTGCGATTTTGATTCCAGTCGGAGTTCCTTAGTCAGTATATTATTATTCTAAGTAATGTGTGCAGAAAATATGACTTCTAGATATGTAATTATAATATAATAGAACAGCACACAGTGTTGATTGATTGTCAAGTGGTGGTCATTATAGGGGCTGCAGTGAAATCGAGGAGCTCCTGGTAAAGACGTTGAGCTTCCGGCTGTAAAGCAGCACTTTATTTGTTGAATGGATGCATCGGTATTTCCGGATTAAACTGGTGGAGTGCACGGATAAAATGTGCATTTCCTGACTATTTCTTAGACAAAAACACAACTAGAGCTCAACATGGCTTTAGGATATTATTTTAATACATTTTTTTTTAATAATGCATGACCCATTTGTGTGTCGCGCTCAATGTTATGACGTTTTACATGTGGATGCTAGGACTTTTAACAATCTTGTTGACATCATG